CCTGACGATGAATGACCGAAAACGATCGTTTGCCAACACGACTTTTCAATTATGCATATATCAAAACAATTTACTGCACAATCACAAGCAGTAGCGAACTGCAGTGATTTCCTTCAATTTCGATTTGGAAGAAGGCAGAACAACGTTAATTTTGATCTTTTTGCAGGGGTAGTTTACCCTTGTTATGAATGCAAGTTACTTTAGCCCCAGATATGTTCGAATAAGAGAACTCGAAGACCCCCTGACGACGTAATGAATCCTAAATCACACTAGCAGTGGGGGCTAGAAGCCAAAAATGCAGTAAAACGCAGTCGGATAGGAACCGGAAAAGGTAAATGGCTTTACACTACAGAACGTACAGCACAGGACTTTGTTAAGCTAACAGTGGTCGTGGGAGTGGCAACAGAAACAACTATGGCAAAAATACATAACCCCTTAAAATTAAAATTTACGAAGACAATATTTATGCGTTTAGATGTAAATTTTGAACGTCTTCAATTACTAGAATAAATTTATTTTTCGATTTTTTCTAAGTGAACTTGTCAAAAACTACCCGGGATGTGTTTAGCAGGAAGACCTATGACGAAATATTGTGGGACTATTTCATTGACAGCAGTACTGAAGCTCGACCTATGTGATTTTTCTCAATTGCCAGAAGACTTAGGAATGTTAGGCCGTTAAGGCATTAAGAATAGTGTCTTTAGCCAGAGTGACAGACAAAAGAGTAAACTGGATGTATACTATTTGTTTTGCCAGTGTGACCATTCCCTATCGAATCCATGATTATACCTGCCAAAACTAGAGAAAGATCTTAAAAATACAAGAATCCAGTTAAGCGACCAATGCGAGGAAAGGCGAATTATTTATCTGACAGCGGCATATGGTCCGCGCTTTTGCATGTCGACTGAAGCCTGTAGTCACGTGAGGCAGTAATAAACAGAGAAGTGCAACAGCAGGTCAGAAAACGCGGCCGGTATCACGGAATAAAACGGCTTTAAGGGGAGGTGTGCGTATGTTTAGTGTACGTTAGCGGCCAAGTCGAAGTGAGGGGGGGAGGAGATTAGGAGGCAGACTAAAATTCTTCAACCGGGAATAGACAGGCTCACCTTTCCACTGTCGTTGGGGCCGGGTTGAAGAGTAACGGAGGCAGGCGTTGCATGAGGGAGCTACAAAGAAAGAGAGGTGCAGGTCGTAAAATTACCCGCATTACTTTATGTAGCAAAAAATAAACAACCGGGAAGCAACAAAGACAGCGGCGTATGCCAGGCTATCAGTAGCGCTTGTGCAGCAGGAGCAATTGCGAACGCCTTGGCATTTCTACAGCTATCGATGTGCAGGCATGCGGGCGCAGTCTGATCGTTCGATAATGTCATGACCGCTCGCGCTCGACACCACGTCCTCACCCCCTACCTCATGTGTAATGCCACGGTCCGGAAAACGTGTGTGTGTGTGTGCGTTGATGTGTGTCATATCGCGTGAGCGTTAATACAGATACCGGTGATGCCACGCTGAAAACAACCAAAAATGCGCCGATTACGACGAAACAGAGCCTGTGCTAATTGAAGCAGCATAGTTTATGTGTACAAATCAGGCAGTTTATTATCGCTCCACTGTTTATGCAATCCCTAGCATTCGTAGTGAACTGAACTTTGGCCTAACAATGAAATTCTGAAAATTTCATTTCGTTAAAGTCCGCGAAAATATACTTTTGGGGAGGCAAACCAAAGTACACTGGACTGCAAACAACTACTTAAAAGAAGTAAGCTAAAAAAGGCAACCTATTTTTTTCGCTTCGCCTTTACAGCAATCAAATGCATGGTATTTTACACCATAAAGGTAAAAAACTGCCTTGTAAAAAATGAATTATTGCAGAGAATAGGCGACTGCTGATCGAAGACATTTATAAGCCCGAAGATAGGAACATCAAGTGACTATATCGGCAAAAGTGGGACAACTTTATTAGCTTTCTGCGCAGTAAGGCGCGCAATCGTAGAGAATCGAGGTATTAATCGTCCAGAGACTCGCAGCTACAGCAGATTACCGACAGATGGCGTACAGACGTTAGTTGAAGGATATGCCCTGTGCTAGGTAGGCTTTACATTAAAATACACCATTCGCTTGGGACTTATTCGACCACATGTGTAAAGATCGTCAATTATGTGGAAAGGAATCAAAGATGTGCCAAAATAAGGGATCGGCTAGACTTAGGGAGTTGGAAAATTTTAAGCAAAGTAACGAAAATGCGTGTAACGCCGCATCGCTGCATAGCCTGCAAACAAATGTCTATGTATCGACTGAAACAAATTGAAAGGCAATTCCAGATGATCGTATGAACACTAGTCAGTGAATGGCCCCCTCCTGCCAGTGAGAGATTAAACACATTAAGTCATACACATTGGAAATTTCCTAATTTTGCAAAGTACTACCAGGAATCACAACCAATAAGACTATTTACTGTGGCTAGTTGGCGCCTTAGGCTGACCTCACCGACTCATGGCAATCCAATTGGCTTTTGCCTTTAAATAAATCGCTATGTTTACCATACTTTAAGTGTTAAACGGAACACCAGCTAAAAGACTTATCGATAGATGTCGCCAGAAAACTTATTCTTCTTATTTCACTTGGGTCTTGCAAGTGTATGAAGTTTAGATGAAAGCGGTAACATCGAAGAACTAGGTAGCATCTATGGAATCGGAAACCGGCAGGCGAAATACGAGAAGACTCAAACTAAAACCAGTTCTGGCACTGAGAAAAAATGTTTTGTACGTAGAATATGCCCTAGAAATCGTATATCGCATCCTTGCAAAACAGCGAGTTTGTGCCATGAAAAAGCCTGATTAGACATTATCGGATGACAAGATCTGTAAAACATGCCAAAGAGTAAACAACCTCTACCGTTCTCTGCCAGATCTTATTCAGGTCAGCATAAAAAGAAAGACGAGTATTAAAGATTGGAGCGACGGTGTGAGCGCGGAATTCGGTCCGACTGGTGGAAACTACTGATAGGAAGCAACGCACAAGTTAAAATTCGGGGCAGTTCGTCCTGTAAATAAAGTATGCGCGAAGCATGGAAAATTTGTAGCTGTCTGGCAACCGCTTAATAAAAACTTATTTAAGTTAGCCTCACTGAATAAAGTTGGCAACACGCCGTCTGAAGTAGACAATTGTACTGATTGTCTAACACTTTGAATTATAAAGTCTGTGCCCCTTGCTAAAAATACGCATGGCATTGATGCAGGCAAGTACCATGAAATTTTATTAGATCATATTATATTGGTTGACCGTACTCGACAGTTTTACGGCATGGGCAGATACCATTTACGGAACAGAATAAAATTGGTGATCAAGAAGAGGGGACTTAATAAAGGTTCAGTATAGATGTATGCATTCATAGAAATATCCTGAGGAATTTATGCTACTTTTATGGTCTTAGTTATTTAAAGCAGCCTGAATTTTTGGTAGCAGGTAAAAACAACGGATTCTCAAAATGACCTGATCACAGGAGATAGATTGGTATTCTATACGAAAAGTGCGAGAAGGCCTGGCTTGATAATTTGATGATTGACGAAAACAAGTTATTGGTTCTCATAACAATATTCAAATCAAAGTAAAAAAAATGGTCCAACATCTAGTGACTAAAGAATATATTTCAAGATTACATGTGAAATAATTTATGAAGATGGCAAGTACTGGCTGGTTTTATCAGGAAAATATGTGTCTTTTAGCATCGACAAAGCTAGCGATTATGAAATAGTGATAAGTAGTGATAGTTGCTAAAATTTTAATGACCTAACAGGTATATAATAAAAATGTCATAGCCCAGTCTCAAAAGCCCTACGAACACCACATATCATAACACTGGAAACAAGACATGCATGCATCTTCAAGGCAATAGAAAACAGTTAGTATTTAGGACGAAACGGGTAAAAAGGCGTATTGCAAAGCATTTCTAATTCAAACTGGATTTATGCGATCAACTATCATGATGATACTCCGCTATAACACTCAGTAGGCATGGCACCGTTGGCGCCTCACGGCCGTTTCCGTTTTAGAAAGACATAGTTATCATTAGGGTTCTTATCATGAAATA